AAAGAGTGGCCACATCAAGTGTAGGTAAAACCACCATAATAGCATCATTAATGACACCTGGTACAACACCTGGTGCAGTGGCTCTAAGAGCCACACCAAGCGTCTTATGTAACTCCTCGGCGGGTCTTACAACTTGCACAACTGATGACAAATGTCAAGGTCTTGTAGCAAACTGAGAAGTATATCACGATCTCCTACCACTAAGACCGTGAGGGTAGGGTAAGTAGATGAGCTCTTCCAGAACCTGCTCATATATTTAAGTGTTATGGGCAAGGAACTCTTCTTTAGAAATAGGTCCCTGCCCTCTCAAGGAGGGAACTGCTCCAACGATCCTCTTGGCTAAAAGATTTGTAGTAGAGTCATCAACACGAACTTCAAGTTCAAAGCCATCTACGTCCTAGGGTGGGAGAACCCTCCTAGCTATCATAACCGGGATATGTTCGCACAGTCGGATGGCTCAAGAAAGTGATTATCATCCCGACGAACTCGAGATTCCTCCTAAATTGAAACTGTATTAGGCGAAGAAACCTACTGGGAAACTTGCTGATGTAAACACAATAGTCAATTCCTAGCCCTCCAGACCCTTCAACCTAATCTAAAGAGAGATGCAACCTCATAAGAGACAGAAATGGGGAGTTTCGAGTCAGCAGAAGAAATTGTTAGACCCTTTCCTCTTTGGCTTGTTAGCTTATCGAACCCAATTCACGAGCCACTTATCGAGCAGAGGTAGAGGCGTCTCACTAGTCGGCTTGACTCACTCACACCTCTAGCGAAGGCCAGAGATGGGAGGCTGCCAAAGGTGGCAACAGCCAGAGGGCTGTAGCGGCTAGAAGGCGGAAACAACCAGAGGGCTGTAGCGGCTGGAAGGCGACAACTACCGAATGTGGCGGTGGCGCCCTGAGACGACATCGTCCTAGGATGGAGACCGGAGACAACGACGTCCTGGGATGGCAGCAGCTGAAGGGCAGAGGCACCTGTCGATCGAAGATGATAATGATCGGAAGGCGGCGATCTGAGAGAACGACGACTAGAGACGACAACGACTGGAGGTTGGCGACAACCAGAATGCGGTGATGATCGGAGACGGTGACGATCGTGAGGTGTCAGAGGCATTGGTCGAAAAGTGGTGGTTGTGGCTTCAGATGGAGGCATAAAAAAGACGGAGGCACCCGACAACTGGAGATTGTGACGATATGAAGGAGGTGGCTGAAAAACAAATGCGGCCTTAGGAGGCGTTGCCCGGAAAGATGTGGCTGTGAGAGCACGAAGGCAGCGACAACAACAAGGTGACGATGACTCTAATGCGACAACGATGGTAGCTGGTGGCAACCAAAGGTGATGACGGTTGTATGTCGGCGAATATGACCGGAAGTGGGCGGCGGCGATCCGAGACGACGGTGACCAGAGGCAACAACGATTGGAGGGCGGTGGCGGCCGACAAGCGACGATGAAGACTGAAAGGCGGCGATACAGGAGGCTGGGCCGCAGCTCCCTTTGATGTAGGCTCTGCTCTCTCTCTAACTTTGAGTCTAGATCCCCCCTCATGAGAGGCTTGAAGCTCTATTTATAGAGTACGAATTGCCAAAAAAACTCATGAGTTCAAAACACTTTTGATCGAATGACTCAAAGATATTCTCTTGATTAGACGACATTTGATAGATATTTGACTGCCTTAACGAAATCAAAATCTTGTTAAATTTGTCTTGCCGTGACGCTCGATTTGTTTATAAGCATGTCATATTCGACATCTGTTTGACCTTCTCAATTATGTTTGAAATGCTTTAAAAAATGGTTAAATGATTTGATCTGGGCTTTATTCAACTCGGATTGGGCCAATTTTTGTACCGTTGGGTCCGTCTAGTCGAGCTAATCAGTTTGATTTTAAGTTTGCTCAAATTAGAGCTCTGGATGGCTTTGAATCAAAGTTCGAACAACATTCACATAAAAAATTAGTCTAGAAATCTGTGCATGCCTCGAGATTCATGTTGAAATTTATACATTTAAACGCGTATCAAGTTGTATGATTGAGTTATTTATTTTCTAATCAAATGAGCTTTATCGAGCTTATAAATGAATTACTTATTGAACTTACAAAATAAATGAGATCTTAAATGAAAGAATTATTAAATGTATACCTAAAATAAACATATAAATGTGTAAAATAAAAGAACTATTAAACAAATAAATCTTTTATGTTGTTTTCTATACTACAAATTAAAACTTAATTTAATATAAATAAATTTTAAATTAAGCTTTAATTGAGCCTATTCCCAAGCTTAAGCTTAACTTTAACAAATCTTATTCATAAACATTAAATCATTCTTACTCATGAAATTTAAAAGAAAATATTTATCAAAATTTTTAAAGACTTTATTTATGAGTATTAAATGACATTGTTCCCCAACACAAACACATCAAATAAAGAAGTATTCAAAATTATTACTTTAACAACCAAATATTTATAAAAATATTTAAATATATTCAATTAGCTAATCAATTTTTATGATGCAATGGGTCCGAATCCGGAAACCAAACTATAAATTGCGGTGCTCGCTGTTCTGCAACGTGCAGCCGCTCCGAGGTATTTTTTTGTGGTAAATCTCGCTGATACTCGGCTTCTAGCATCGCAAACGTCCAAAGGGGCGCTCATTTACCGCTTATTTTATCGTTCGTCTCATTTTACCCGGCTCTCCGTCCCTCCACCACCGATCCCTTCACTCTTCTCCGAATACGGAGAAAGAGAGGGAGAGGGTTGAAGATCTAGCTTCACGCAATTGCTCCGATCTCTGTTTTTCGCTTCGCGGCTGCCGGAAAAGAAGATGAGCGCGAATCCGATGCCAGCAAGTTCCCATGGAAACCTGGACGAGCAGATCGCACAGCTGATGCAGTGCAAGCCACTCTCCGAACAAGAGGTTCTTATCGATTCGAGCTTCCTTGTTTTATCTTCGGTTTCGAGCCTTTTGTTTCCTGTTTTGCTTTGTTAGATAGGTGAAGTTTGTTCCACTGTGACGGATCGGGTGAATTTCCTTTTTGGTGGAGTTAGGGTTTGTGATTAGGGGGTTTGGATGGGTTAGCCCGGGAAGGTTTGCAGCTCTTTGGAATTTCTTTTTGTTTTTTCGCTGGATGAAGGATAAATCATATTTGTGTTCTTCACAAAGGACAGTAGAGCCTAACTTATCAGATTTGCAGCCGCGGTGGTTTATTTTTTGTTCATTGGCAAGTATTCAGTTAGATATGCTATTGAATTGGTTTCAAGTTATACGTGGTTTTGGGGGCACGATTTAGAAGGTTTGGAACTCCTCTTGAACATTGTAAGAATAGTTCCAATCAAATTGATCGTTTGACACAGGAAATTAAACAGCTTCATTTATAACGAGCACTGCGACATTTTTAAGCTGCACCAGAATATAAGCCAGGACCATGATTTCAGTATCGGGTGCTTTCTTGTCACATTTTATTTACCTCTTATTTTCTTTGAAAACCCAAGTGACTTAATATGTATGGATAGTTAAACTTCTGTTTGTCACTCAATATTGTTTTATTTCTGATTTATTAAGAAAATTGGTCCTTTGGAAAGGTTGTATATCAGTCCTTTACGCTTTTGAAACATTTAAACTTGCTTATGTGCTAGGAGTTTTTAATTTTCACTATACATACTCTAGTGTGCATTTTTCTGCGTTGATTTTTCTATCTTCTGCTCTAATTGTTATAGTCTTTAGCCTTTAAGTGAAAGCAGGATCATGATTCACTTAAAAATGAATGCTTAGATGTGGCTGGTTTTCTCGAGGGTATCCTAGATTTTAAAAAGTGGATTTAGCGTGGTTCCAAACGTCACTTGTGAATGAAAAATTTCTGTGATTATCATATTTACTCTCAAGCAATTTTTGTGTTGCTAAACTTTTGGGTAAAAACCAAGATGATTTTACTATCCAATAGAGTAGATGTGGAAATGGTAAATAAATGAAGTTAGTATTAGTCACTGTTAGGTCATTGTGTTTTTACATGTGTATTTAAATGTGGTTGGAGTTGAATTATGAAAGTCTTATATTGAAGTCAGTTATTGGGGCTGTATGGCTGTCAGGCATCCCCTTAGTGATGTACATCTGCTTAATATTTATAAATGGCGAACGGTGAATCACAACACAAATATCCCTATGGAGCCATACTGCAATGTACGGCTTATTCTTTTTTTAACATGGCAGAAATTATAAATAAAAAGTGTAGCTAAATATGAAAACTATTAGATTGAAAGATAAACCATCAGGATGATGAAAACAACCAAAGTAATGTTTGGGTACAGGTGTTCGGCGACTCAATCAAATGATGAAATTGATGACCTAAATAAGAAAAAAGTTTAGCAAACTTTTTGGAAGCAACATCTCCAAATTGTTAGGAAAGCACATGCTCAACATCAAAATTAATCATTTATCACTTTAAAGTCATTGGAAAATTTAATAGCCAATAATGCATGCAGTACTTGGTCCTAGTGTACAAAAAACATTATTGAATTCCATGATCATTCTTTTTATGAACAACAAAAGGCACATTAAAAAGAAATACTTCAAATATGACTTTGGGAGTGAACCAGTGAAGCCATTTAATCAAATCCCAACTTTAGCACCAAAGAGAAGGAGATCGAGAACTTTACTTGTTCGGTTTGACTCTTATAATAAAATTAAACCATAAACAATTTAAAATCTGATAACATGAATAAATAATATATATGCATAATATTAACATTAATTTCATGCCCTTAATTTTGCCTTCCTAGTAGTTCCCGTCATCTGTATCATATGGATTGAACAATGTATATGATACTTCCACAGTGCAATTTAATTTGATATCTTAGTAATCTTCTAGGCAACATTGACTATTTAAGGTTTCTTTGGCAAATAAACAACTAGTGTGCTTTAAGTAGTATAGGTGTTGTGGCCTTTTTTTTTCCTCCTCTGCTTATAGAATCAGTACATTATTATTTGGCAGATAAGCGCATAAATCATATCAAGTACTTTGTTGTTTGAAAAATAAAATTCTTTCAAGTAGTTCTTAGAGTTCAAATGTCCAGAAAAGTCAGTGTATCCAGAAGTAGCGCTTAATGTAGTGTGATTGTAGGAATGTCTTTTAAATAGTCACCAGTCAGACATGTTTTTTTCAAGCATCTTTAAATTTACTTTACAAAAAGTTGTTCTGGGCAATTTAAAAAATAAGTACAAAATTTTTACAATTATGTTTTAGATAAGAACTCCCATGAACATAATAATAACAAAAATTTCTGAAAAGCGGCAGACTCGAGTATTTATTCTTAGTTGCTAGGCAACTCCTTAATGTGTGCCTGATATGAACCCATATCCTTTGTAGTCTGTTGGCTTAACAAATTCTATTCACTACATGACTTTCTTTATTAAATTAACAGTTAGTTGGATGGATACTCATTGTTTAAGTGCTATCTTTAAATGGTAATATTTTGTTGATAGCTTTTTGCATGTTTCTTTTAAGATTTTTGCATATGTTTCAGCTCAGATGGTTTAACTCTTGCTATTTAACTGATTCTAGTTTGCCATTTTTTCTTTATTATTATTATTTTTTAATGATTTTCACAGGTCAGAGTATTGTGTGACAAAGCAAAGGAGATTTTGATGGAAGAAAGCAATGTTCAGGTAACGTTATATTTATTTTATTTATAAACGTACTTGCTTCCCGTCTGGTATTTTTTTCCCTGATAAACCAATAGTATCTTTTCTTGTTATTTGCCTCTGAGGTGGTCTTTGTTCCATTTACATGACTCAGTTTGATTCTTTTTGCTGGTAACATATGTTTGATGCATGTATTCTTAGTATGACATCATGGAACTCACATATTCATGGAATCAAAGCTGAAGCTTGCGTGAAGGTTGCATTTGCAGAATTATTTTCCTTAGTTCCTGCTGTCATTTCTATTGTGTTGTATAAATCTCTCACATCTACTTTGTAATGTTTTACTATTTTCCCATTTATTATCCATAAGAGTTGTAGCTTAATCATTGATGGTTCTTTGAATCCCTTACCTATTGAAAAGAAATAACAAGTTCATGTATTTAAAAATTGGAATAGAAGTTTATTGCTGTGTTGTAAAGCTTTGCCATTGTAAGTGAGAGATTAGATGTGAAAAGGGTAGAGTTTGTGCAAAAATACTTGCATAGGGTGAGTTAACAGGCCATGCAGCAGTCATCATGAATAATTGAAGAAGAAAGATCTTTAAAACCCTTCCCATATAGTAGGTGTAAGGCTGAAGATGATCTGCATTTCTTATGGCGGATTCTTGAATAATTTGATTTCACCATTTTAATTTTTAGTAAGTGCACAACTTGGAATTGCTTAGCCAAAAAAGAAGCTAAAAAATTGTCAATTCTGTAATACATGCCAAAATAGTTGGGAAGAATCAATTAATATGTTGTTTGTATAGGCTTTATATTGGATGTGTTTTGCGTATTACATTCATTCTGTCTATTATTGCAGCCTGTGAAAAGCCCTGTGACAATTTGCGGTGACATTCATGGACAGTTTCATGACCTTGCAGAATTGTTTCGTATTGGTGGAAAGGTATCTCTTTCCAACAATGTGCTCTTAAGCATGTTATGTATGCTATCAATTAAAACTTGACTCTTTTTTAGGGAATGTAATACTTGACAGTTTTTTTTTTCATAATTTTCTATAGCTAGGGATATCTGACATTATTATTGATGAATGTATTTTTTGATATTAAGTGTCCAGATACAAATTACTTATTCATGGGAGATTATGTAGATCGTGGGTATTACTCTGTTGAAACCGTTACGGTAAGAATGTCTCATATGTAATGTTTTCTTCAATTAAATATTTTCTGATTAGTTATGATTTGTATTGCACTAAAAATTTATATTTACATTCACTACTTAAAAGCAACCAAAAAGGGGAAAAGATATATCAAAATTTTCATCTCCTAGCTATTTAATCCTGGCTGACTAACTTAAGTGACAATATTCTATTTCTTGTTTTTGAGGTTCTACTAGTATAGTATGGATACTCGCAGTTTTTATGACTTCTGTTCTGTATCGCACAGCTTCTTGTGGCCCTTAAAGTGCGATACTCTCAGAGAATCACCATTCTTAGGGGAAATCACGAAAGTCGGCAGGTATACTGATCTAGCTCATTTATTGAGTTACCCATTTTTGTTATCACTATGGTATGACTAAGCCATTTCATTGTATGAACTTATAGTCTATTTGATGGTATTTTTCCTCTTTATGCTATTGATGGTGAAACATTCCTTCCATTGTGATGAAAAATACTTTTGAAATTGCAGATTACACAAGTTTATGGTTTCTACGATGAATGCTTAAGAAAGTGAGTTTCAATCAGCTTAACATTTCTTGCTTCGATTTAGTTAATTTTTTTCTTTATGGCATGTGCTAGCAAAAATGCCTTATTTAACTTGTCAGTGTGAAACTTTGATTCTGTTTTAGTACTGAATTTCTCTCTGTTGTGACGGGCTTTCTCATTTACCGGTTTGAAAGGATCTTTGATGATTGACATATTAGCATGCTTATTTATTTTATTTTGCTTTATAGACTTTTCATTTGTTTTTATTTTCTTCGGTTTCTTGGCATCAATTTCTCCTATTTCAGCTTTGAATTCATGGGGGAGTTATTATGGTATCATAAAAGTTTTCGGATTATCTGATTTTCTTCATTTTTTTTATCTACTTTATGGCTAGGTCTGATAGGTTATTTATAAAAGATGATGACTCACATCTTTTGGTTTGATTCTCATTGATTGTATATTCTATTGTATTTATTTTTCTATTATGTGCTATGGTGAATAATGATTTGTTGAAATTGCTGATATTAATCGGTTGGAATACTTCGGTAGCATTTGTTTCTTAAGTGTTGGAAATGTTAGAGTTTGAGAACTTATTGAAAGTCGTGTAGAGAGAATTTTTTTCTTTTTAATGATTATAAAATCTGTAGGTTTTGAAATGTTAATTTCTAAATCATTCACTTTCTTTCATCGTAATCCACTTTTTTAAGTTCCTGTTAAGGAATGAGATCACCTTTTGTAGCCATCTTCACATAGTAAATTTTGGAGTTAAAGCCTGATTTAAAATTTACAGGTTCAGAACTAGTATTTTACATCCTTCCTTATAATATCTCATTCCTAATCTGCTAATATATCCTGCCCTTAGTTTTTATTGCTACCTTTTATTTGAGATTCTCGTTAAACCTATCTTTCATTCATTGCAGCTGCAATTTATTATTTTTCTTTCTTGATCTTTTGAATGTTTGTGTCTCAACCATTTGTTGACTTGATTTTATGCATTGTATGATGATCATGAATGAAAAACAGGTGAATTCATAGTCATGACAATGCTTTCTTCGATCAAGAGCAAAAAGAGGAGGTTGACCTTTTATAAGAACTTTTTTGTAGAGAGAAATGAGAAGTAGTAGCATGTTGAAGAGTTTGAAAGATGGATGTCTTTAGTTGAAATCAAACAGTAGTCTTAGATATGAATAATTATGAAAATTGGATGGATTAACCATCTTTCTAATATTTATGATAAGAAAAAGATTAAGGGTGCGTTTGTTTTGGTTGTGACTGTTGCTGTGAAAAATCTATTGTTCAAAAGCTTGTGTTTTAAAAGCAGTTGGCCTATTTGAAAAATATAGTTTTGAAAGTCTTGTCTGTGGATAAATGTAATACACGTGTATATATTATATAGAATTCATAATTTTAATAATATATATAATTATCATATTTTAACTGTTTGGGCAGAGGGACTTTTCCTGTCTGTTGGGAATATTTCAAATTTTTTTTAGAAACATGGAATCATGCAAAATTCAACAATGTTTTAACAATTTTACAACAATTTTACTGCAGTTTTTATAGGGGATGCAAAGTTATCATTTGTTATTGATAACCATTTCTTGCATACTCATAAAATAGATGACCATTATTTTCCTATTTAACACCTTTATTTCACTCTTTACGCAATATTCAACTCCATTAATGAAGTCACGATGCAGATGAAGAAAAGAAAAGGTTGTGCTGAGAGCTTCATAATAGTAACAGGGAAATGTCAATGGTTGCAACTATCTCTATTTTGGCATTTAGGCGTTTAGGGATTTGGGAGGAGACAAGATTAGCAGCAAGCCAAGCGAAATCATAGCTTGAGAGAAACGCCAGGTGCCTGCGAGCTTCTGGCAGGAGAGGATGACGCGAACTCACGGAAGCGGAGAGGTCGTGTGAGCTTTCTCGCGGAGGCGGAGAGGTCGTGTGTGGAGACGGAGAGGGCGGCACAGAAGTGCAGCTGCTGGCGAGCTGAGGTGGAGAGGGCGACGTGATCTCAAGCTGCGGGTCGCTTGGGCACTCTGGTCTTTCCTCTTATCGCGAACATGGGATGCACATCTGAAGCCAAAGTTGTGAATAATAAAAAATTGAATGCAATTTTGAACAGTGTATTAAAAGCGTGATTCAGGCGCCTGAATGTTAGGGTTCGGTTCATAACTTGGTTTGGAAAGCCCAAACAAATGTACCCTACGCTAGTGACAACTAATAATTATATGATGGTTTGAATGATAAAAAATATTTCATAGTGAATGAAAATTGAAAATTGTAAATGTTTATAAATGTTCATAATCTGTCTTAAATCTTTTTAGTAAAATCAAAGATTTCTCTATTTCTCCCTTCCGTTTAGTATAATCTACTTGTACGCAACCTTTTCCCTTTTATTTCACACACTTTCTTAATTTTTAATATTTCTAATTTTAGGTATTAGGTAAGGTGATTTTATTGGATTGTAACTTGAGGTAGCTTCTGTATGTGATATTTAGCTCCATTTAGGGTATGTATTGAATAAATTTGTGATAAAATATTCAGCAAATGCTTAACATTCTTGACCTAATTGTTGATGGGAATTTGATGCTCATGAATTTGCTGTATGATTTGTGCATCATCAGTAAAGATGGGTTGTTTTGCTAGCAAACAATTTTCATTGGCGATTTATTACCTTGTATTACAAACATGATGATCATTGGCATAGGAAGCGGATTGTTTATGTTAATCTTGCCTTTCTACAATATTTCGCATGCCTAGAAAGTGTTTTGCCTTTTTGTGGTCATGATATGAAAAATCTCATTGCTTGTCCTATGTTAGGAATTCAAAAGATTGCACCCGTTCTTGTGTTTGTGGCAATGCTGGCAATAATCAAATTTCATATTCTCTTACGCTTATTATCTTCAACGCTACTTACATATTTTATTTTTGTTTTCAGAATTACTAACATTACGAAGTTTACATTCTTAAGAGATGGCGCTGATTACTGAGTTTTGAAGGTTGAGAATTATAGGGGTCAATTGAACTACTGAAAAATAAAGATGGATCTCCTTTTAAAGAAATGTTAAAACGGCAAGTCGTCGACTTATAAACTTGAGAGCTCCTACTGGCATCAGGAAGGGAAGCCACCTGGTGTTGATATTTTTATATAACCATGAAAGTTGGTTATTAATTATGTTGTCTTTTTTCACTAATTTCTTTTGGTAATTTTTATTACAAATCATAGAAATTGAATCTAAGAGATTTACAAAATTTCAAAATCTATGTTGAGATCCAGATTAAAGACAGAAAAGTGTTAACTTGTAAAAAAATCTTCTTATAGAGGGGAAAGAGAGTAGTGGAAAGTTTTGGATTGAAGAGATCATAAGACATGCTTGTAACTATCTTAAAAATGATTTTCTGAAGGGGTGATTGGTGATGAAAATTATGAAAAATTGTGTTATGAATATGATTTTTGCATATATGATACATATAAATAAAGAATGATCATAAGCAGTAAATTTTTTTGATGGAAAATTGATGATTACTTGAACGGTGAGAAGAATAAGCTGATATGGTTTATGAAGTGTACTAAGCCATCATACTTGTGCTCTTGTGTGCGTGTAATACTTTTGATTATTTTTTGGCGCTCTAAATGTATATTAATGGCTCTTATATGATTTCTATCAGAATTCTTTTTTTCGAACTTGGGAAATTTGATTATGAATACACATTACACCTTCACAACTGGTTTTGAAGGGCCCCCCTCCCTTCTAGCTTCTCGTGCTAAATCCACTCATACTCATATTGTACTGCTTTTTGACTTTTCCATTTTTTCGAATGGCCTTTTTCAAAATCTGGTGGCTATTTTTTGTGTATGCATTAAGAGTCAATCATTTACCAATCATCATCGTGACTCATATTTGGCTGTGTTAGTCATTCTTCTCCAACATTCTAGCGATGTAGTCTTCTCTTCATTGATCTTCTTTGCATGAACTACTCAATGTCGGCATGTGAGGCCCCGTTTATTTGATCTTCTTTGCATGAACGACTCAAAGTTAGATATGTGTTGTTTCTTCATTGTACTACACCTCTATCCAACATTTTCTTAGGGTTGCAACTTGCATTCTACCATCTCTTTTATTGCTTTGCATGTTCTCCTCCGTAATAGAGCCTCACCGCTCTTTGACGTCTATCCTGAGACCTGTTACGTGCCCTAGTTTGCGACCTTGTAGCGGTTTTGTGAATGGATAGAGAACAAGGATCGTCCTTGTGTTCTCTACCTATGTTGGTAATATTGTAGGATACTTCGAGGGATCCTCGGCCTCCTTAGTTGGTTTAATTCGAGAAAAACCACAACTTCCAATCAACACAAGGTTGAAAATAATACTTATTAGTTAATCTTCATTATTGGCCTCAAGCTAATAAATAGCCGAAGGGCCTTTGGATAGAATAGACAATAACCCATTATTATGGAAAGGAAAATTACAATCGCATAATTCTAGCACTAATTTATTGAAAGGAAATAACATTGATTGAAATAACATTTAATGTAATTATTGATGGTAAGCATCAATCACTCTTATCCCATTTAATGTAATTATTAATGGTAAGCATCAATCACTCTCATTTCATGATTCTTGGTCCCTGACAACTCTTCCCTCCTTAAAAATTTCCTTGTCCTCAAGGAAAAAACGTGTCTTCAATTTTGTTAGATTCTCTCATGTGACCAGCAGGAGAAAGATTTTGCCAATGAACAAGAACTTCAATTTCTCCACCCTTTGTGCGAGTTTCCAGAGCGGCTTGAGGAAATGAGGATACCGATAAGGCTTGACTGAGTTGGATTAGCTCCATTTTCCAACAGAATTTTGTGGTCTTGAGATCCTTGAATCTCTTGAAATATAGTCGAATGTTGATTCAAATTAGCCATTAAATTTGGATTTAAATTGGTTGCTGCAACTCCTTGCTTCTCTCCCAAATTTAAGGAATTGAATTGTAATAAAAAAGCTCTTTTTTCCTTTCCGCAACTGTTCCTCTAGATCACGATCAACCATGATTTTATGGCTAGGCCCTCTGGTCTCACGTAACTCTATTGTTTTCCTTTCCCAGCAAAGCCGCATCCATAGATCATTGAATTCCCAAATAATTGGACCCAGTTTTTTAAGACATTGAGTTCCAAAAACAATATCACATCCTTCCACTGGTAAAAGGTAAAAATCTACGTGAAATTAAACCTTTTGCACTAAAATAGGGAGGCTTTCACACAATCCTTCACTTTTCATCTTATTTCCATCCGCCACTTGAACCGAGAATTCTCCTTTCTTTGTAGGATAAATTCCCATTTTGGTAGCTAACTTGGAATTCAAAAAGTTATGAGTGCTACCGGAATCTACCAATATGGTAACCCCAAAATCTCCAATTTTTCCAAAAAAACGCATGGTCTGAGGTGCTGTATTTCCTGAAATAGCATGAAAACTAATTTCGGGAATCTCTTGTTCCGCTTTCTCCTCGTCAGTAGTTTCCTCCAACAGCTCATCAATAGAAGGAAAAATTCCTTCTATTAAAAATAACTTCTTGCAACGATGGCCCGGGGAAAATTTTTCGTCATAACTGAAGCATAATCCGCGCATCCTCCTTTCTTGCAACCCAGTCAGACTTAACCTCTTGATGGTGGGGTTACGAGCTCAAGTAAGTAATGCTGAGGTTAATGGTGGATGCCCCATGGTGGATGGAGTTCGAAGGTTCCACGTACCCTCCCTTTCGTTGGTCAGACATTCGAGACTCATAAAGTCGTGCCAGACCGATAGCCGCGGACAATGAAATTGGATTACATACTTACACATCAACTTGTATTGCATCCTTTAACCTGCTCACAAAGCACCCGACTTGTTGTTCTTCAGACAAATGGCCAGCTCGATGTAACAAACGATCAAAGTCCATTTGGTAATCGCGAATGCTTCCTGTTTGTTTAAGCTTGGTGAAATCCCCAAAGAAATTTTGGTATCTTGAAGGCCCATATCGTAAATGCAACTCGTAATTGAAAACTTCCCAATTGACGCCTTCTCGCCGATTTTTGAAACGTTGATACCACAATTGGACGTTGTCATCCAAGTGATAACTGGCCATGAGGAGTTTTTCCGCCTCTTCTGTGCTTTGGAACTCGAAAAATTGCTCCACTCGACAAATCCACCCAGTTGGATCATCCATGCCATTATAGCGTGGAAAGTCCAACTTAGTGATTTTAGGTGCGAGAGAGCATCCTCCCGAAAGGCTATGATGGGACCCGCGTGAAGACTCGACATCATCCTCATGTCCTCCACCACGCGTAGAAAAACGAGCAAACATGGTCTCCATATGTTTTAAGAGACGTTCATCACTAGCTTTCATAGCTTGTTGTAGTTCCTTTTGGCCCACAGCTAATGAGCCAAGCTCATTCTCCACATGCTCGAGACGGTGGTCGGACATGTCTGGCTCTGATACCAAATTGTTACGTGCCCGAGTTTGCGACCTTATAGCGGCTTTGTGAATGTGTAGAGAACAAGGATCGTCCTTGCGTGCTCTTTGGTAATATTGTAGTATACTTCGAGGGATCCTCGGCCTCCTTAGTTGGTTTAATTCGAGAAAAACCACAACTCCCAATCAACACAAGGTTGAAAATAATACTTATCAGATAATCTTCATTATTGGCCTCAAGCTAATAAATAGCCGAACAGCCTTTGGATAGAATAGGCAATACCCCATTCTTATGGAAAGGAAAATTACAATCGCATAATTCTAGCACTAATTTATTGAAAGGAAACATTGATTGAAATAACATTTAATGTAATTATTGATGGTAAGCATCAGTCACTCCTATCCCATTTAATGTAATTATTAATGGTAAGCATCAATCACTCTCATCCCATGATTCTTGGTCCCTGACAAGACCATTGCAACTTTTAAGTTGCTCAATTCCCAATCATTACTTTAGAGTCCATATCTTCCATCTCTTTTGCAAATTGCTCTAAGCTTTATCTTTAAACCAACAATAGTTTTTATTTTATTTAATTTTGTTTTCTTTTCTTGTCAAACTGCACACACACACACACACGAATACACACACGCTGACAACACACATATGAAGTATATGATACATCATTTTGTAAAGCATCGAGTAGAAAATACTCTTTTTTGGGTGTTCTAATTATACATTTTATATTAATAATTTATAAAATGAACATTTTGTCCATTGTATGTTGCTATGTCTGTACATGTCAATGTTGTCTTTTCTGTGCTTCAAAATATTTTTGTAAGCATTAGCATTAACTTGAAGCACATCTTTATGTGGCAACATTTTCTTAATATATATGCCATATGTTGCATTTTTTATACATCTGCATCCTGTAAATTCGGTGTTACAGTATTTTCCTGCATAACTTTTTATTAGGAATAAATTCAACATGTTACAAAAGTTACAGCTTATTTACATTTTATATCTGTTTCATTTTGCAATGTTTAAACAAAAAGTTGGATCTTATTATAGAAGTATTACTGCGACGAGCATACAAAGTAATAATTTGAGAAATTGGATTCATTTCTTTCATCAGCAAGGTGCTTGCATTACTACTAATTGTGTAGGATGTGTGGAATACAGGTCTAAGTTTAAGATTACTATTATAATTGGGTTCAAATGAATGCTTGATTGATTGCTTTTTTCCCCATACTAAAATTTGAGCTCCATTCTTAATATATATGCCATATGTTGCATTTTTTATACATCTACATCCTGTAAATTCGGTGTTACAGTATTTTCCTGCATAACTTTTTATTAGGAATAAATTTAACTTGTTACAAAAGTTACAGCTTATTTTACATTTTCTATCTGTTTCATTTTGCAATGTTTAAACAAAAAGTTGGATCTTATTATAGAAGTATTTTTACGAGGAGCATACAAAGTAATTATTTGAGAAATTGGATTCATTTCTTTCATCAGCAAGGTGCTTGCATTACAACTAATTGTGTAGGATGTGTGGATTACAGATCTAAGTTTAAGATTACTATTATAATTGGGTTCAAATGAATGCTTGATTGATTGCTTTTTTCCCCATACTAAAATTTGAGCTCCATGTTTTTGTTGTCCCAATTGTCTAAAGGTTCTTTTGTATTTGAGTGCTCCTTGATTTTTCTGGTACGTACAAGGTGGTTGGGCTTTTTGTTATCTTCGGTTGGAGATGCATGTATATTTGCTTGCTGATTTTCTTACAGTTATTGGTTATCTCTTTGCAGGTATGGTAATGCTAATGTGTGGAAGATTTTTACCGATCTCTTTGATTATTTTCCATTGACAGCATTGGTTTGTTCGCCAGACTCTTTTTTATACTGTTTATGTTTGATTATCAAGTTATATAGTCATGCAATGATAGTTATAACATCATAAAATTGTTTATTTTAAATTTAATGCTATATCTTCCTCTCATATACATGTTCTGGTCCTTGTGCTTGTTGGATACTTGAAGTTTTGTGGTTCGATATTTGATTGAATTTCTGTTGTAAAATTAATGAACCCTTTTTCAACTTTTTTTCTTTTGTGACCTAACCTAATTTTAGTGGTAAGTAGTTAAGTTTTTACTAGAGTCACCTATAGGTGACACACCCCAACTTGATTATGATGTTTAGTTAAGATTTAGCTAGGACATCACTTGCAAGTGATACATCACAAGTTTTCCTAGTGCTAAAAATTGTGCAATGGCTAGCTATAATGAAGATTAATTTTGTAACATGAAATTTTGGAATTAAGTAGGAAGACCAAAGAATTATTTGATTTTTACGAGAAGAATATGAGAAAATGCCATGAAATTGGAGATGCTTATATGCTATTGTATGGTATGAAGATGCTCAAGAGCGATGAGATGATAATAAGCGGGAGGGTTATTGGATAAAATTGTTGAGATAATTAAGATTATTTATTGAGAGATTTCTATTAACTTAATAATTAGTAAGCCTATTATACTCAGGTTTAGTATTATAATAATTTGAAAAAACAATTTTGGGAAGCAGTACAAACTATAGCACCACCTTGCCCAGGAAAAGAGGATAATTATTGATGTTGACTTAAATTACACAGGATGATGATTATGATGCATTTGTAATTGATTTTAGCATCATTGGTTGACAAAAGGGTATTAGTAGAACTCAATGATGCTCGCCAATAAGTAACTTCTGGCCAACTCCCTGTAATTCCACAATAAAATTTTTTGGTTACGAGTTTAATATGAGTGACTAAGAACCATATATTATGAAGAAATGCACAGACAAATTTTTTCTAATATTTCCACCCCTCCTTTGAAAGTCAGTGCTTTCCAATACATAAATGATTCCTTTTTTCACCATTTACCAGATGATAGAACAAATAAAAGAGGGGGGCATTCTCCATTATTAAATGTTATTGTTTGGCCTGGGGCTTTAGAATTACAAATGCGGGAAATGACGGTGAGGCAGTGAAATCCAAATTTAATTTAATTTTATATAACTAACAATTAATTGTCTCACTAACAAAAGAAAAATAAATTAACTTAGAATAAAACAATTAAAAATATATATTATTTCTTTGTTATTCAGATATTCAATATACATTTTCTCTTCTATCATTCATTTATAAATCCAAGTTTTATACGTAAAAATTGTTAGTTTAATATAATGAGCTATCAATAACTCAGTAAATACTTCTATCTTTAAACTACAATAATATAATGGGAAAAAAATGATGTTAGACGGACAATGAATTAATATAAAAGCAAATGAATGTTTCTTGTTCAATTTTAGCCATTTTTTGAAAGGTCCAGAATATTAATTTTTTTTTGGCAATACAATATTGTTCTTTATCATTATTATTTACTTTCATCACAGGAATACCATTTAAACATAACTTAATACACTCAAATCAATGCATATCTTGTCGGTCTTTTATTGTATGAGGTGGAAAGGAAACTACTCACTTTTAGCTGATAAATCCCCATGGTAGACAAAATGTCAACATGTGCAGGTTAACTTAGTGACCCCGCTTAGTATTATAAGGGCTCAAACATGTTGACACCAGCTAGTTGTAAAACGAATAAGTAAACAAATCATTTGAGAAGATCAACTGCCAACTAGACAACTTTCAGCTAATAAATTTCAACAAAAAAACTAATAAAACAAAATTGCACTCTAAACTCTGGCTATTATAAACTTTGGCACAAGTAAATTGGATCCAATACAATACTTAATTAGAATAATTCTCACATTTAATCCTCTTGGTTTGGTTCAGGTTGAAGATAACTGTATCTGCGTATTCATCAATTCTTTCAAGTCACTTTTTGTTTATGGCCTGAGATTAGTAGGAGTTAGACATCCTGTCCTCCACTTGCAGTTCCTCTCAGAATTTATGACAAGGAAGCCCGCCATGATCCATAGCAAACTAAGGAAAACTACATAACAGCTATTTGATCACAGACTTCTATTATGGTGGACATTAAGAACAAGAAGTAGAAAGAAAACCTGAAGGAAAGTTGTCCTTGAGAAAAGACGGCAGTTTTTTTATCGAACTTTCAGGTATTATGTGGTTGGAATTGTGATCGAACTCAAAAAAGTTTGCGGAACTGTAGCTGTGGTATGTTGAATCCTTGATTCAAGAAGTGGACCCAATCTTGTTGGTTTTTTAACCATGGTTACTGTAATTTTGGGAGGAGAAAAATAATTATTTCTCTTCAATTTCATATGAAAGATTACAAAATAAATAGAGGGGGTATGACTCTCATATTAGGAACATCATAAATCATCCATAACCCCATGATAAAAAAAGAAACAATAATTAAAACATACCAATAATAGAAAACTCTAATATACGAAAATAGTAAAAAATGATAAAAATAAAATGTGCTAAATAATTTAACACCCCCAAAGTTGGAGAATAAATATCTATCATGCTCAACTTGCTTATAAGGAGATCAAGTTAGGCCTGAACAATCCTTTGGTGAGGACATCTGCTATTTGTTGAGCAATAGTGGTAAATGACATGCAAATAGCTCCACAGTTAATCTTCTCATTTATGAAGTGTCTGTCGATCTTGACATGCTTTGTGCGATCATATTGTACTAGATTTTCTGCAATGCTTATGACAACTTTATTGTAACTTCATTGACATATCTATCAAAATCCATAATTCTTCAAGAATTCTCTTCAGTCGTAACATTTTACATACTCTATTAGCTATTACTCGATATTCTGGTTCAACACTACTTGCCACACTACATTATGTTTCTTACTTTGCCAGGTAATCAGATTTCCCTAGCCATAAGTACAGTATTGGAAATTCGTTCACATCTCAATAACTGAGCCTATCCAATCTGCATCGGTGCATGCCTTTATGTTATGTTGTGTGGTCTTCTGTAGGAGTACTTTTTAGGAATCTGATAATCCTGTTAACTGCCTCAAGGTTTTCTCAGAGGGAGAATGCATAAATTGACTTACCAAATTTTCAACAAAGGCGGTATCTAGCTGTGTATGTGATAAGTATATCAAATTTCCCACCAACTTTTGATATCGAGTTGTACTCACTAGTTTATCTTCCTTCTCATCTCCTAGCTTTTGATTGTGATCAATTGGAGTGTCCGCAAGCCTATAACCACTCATCTCCGTTTTCTTTAAGAGGTGAAAAACATATTTCTTTTGGAAATAACAATCCTTTTTTTTCAATCTAGGAACCTCAATGCTAGGAAAATACCCAAAGATATTATGTTCTTGGTTTCAAAGACTGGTGAGAGGGAAGTCTTCAACCGGTTCATTTCATCCATGTCATCTCCGGTGAGAATTATATTGTCCACATTTGTGATTAATATCGCTATCTTACCATCATTTGAATGCCTAAATAATAATTTATGATCTCCTTGCCCTTTGAGTATATCCCAAAATTTTAACAGTGTAAACTTCTCAAACCACGCTCTCGATGACTGCTTTAACTTTGTACAAGGATTTTTTTAGTTTACACACTTTTTTTACCAAGCTTTCATTAAACTCGAGAGGTGAATCTATATACATTTCTTCTTTCAAGTCCCCATAGAGGAAGACATTCTTTTTATACAACTATTGTAGGGGCCAATCAATATTAGCTGCAAGTGACAGAAGTACTCTTACAGAGTTTAGTTTTGCAACTGGAGCGAATGTTTCTAAATCATCAATATCATATGCCTAAGTAAATCTGTTAGCAACCAGCTAGCCTTGTGTTGTTCTAAAGAACTATCAGAATTTTACTTTATTATAAATACCCATTTGCATCCGACAATTGTCTTTCCTATAAATAGATTAACTATTTTTCATGTGTAATTTTTTTTTTCAAAAGCTTTTATCTCCTCATAAACAACCACCTTTCACATAGGGACTTTTAGTCATATGCGATAATTGTGAGGTAAAAGCAGGAAAAATCGGTGAGAGGTTCCCATATGACACATAATGGGACTATTGATGTTGGGTGCAAGTTCTTTTCTCAACAGGAAGGATATACTCATTAGACTCAGGATTCAAATTTGGCTAAGATTCAGGACTAGAAGATTCAGAATTTGAAGATGAAGTGGACTGAACATGAGATAAAGGATTAGTGATGACATTACCTTGGTTTGCGGGTTCAGAGCAGTGCAAACGATTTGTATATCCTTTTTTTTGGGTTGTCCTTTTTCGTGAGTTGACGAGATTAAAAGACACCACTATTGTTATTTTTTCTTATTTCTTTATTGTCATCATGAGATGATACTTGTCACTTCAATATCTAAAAAACTTAGCGTTCTCTCTTTTGATATAATATCGTTTGGTTTTTCAGGTTGAACAATTACGGTTGGGGATATACTATTTTGTTATTCTTTGGTTTGAAGAAAATTCTGAAACTCAGTAGACACATTTTTATTTTGTTCTCCCCCTTGAAGATGAGATGAAAAAAATTGTCGTAATTCAAAAAAGGTCACATCCATGATAACAAATACTTTTTTAGAATTTGATCAAAGTATTTATATCCTATTTGGCTAGTAGCGTAGTCAACAAGCACAAATTTTTAGCTCAGGATTTGAGTTTTCTTAATCATGAATGTGAACCATAGCACCCAAATATGTTTAGAGGCTTGGAAGATGAGTATCGACCTTTTGGAATTTTTTTTAAAAATATCAAAAGGTGTTTCAAAGTTTAAAACCTTATTACGTGTTCTGTTTATAAGAAAAGTAGCATTGAGAACTGCTTTACCCCAAGGATATTTAGACACTCAATTGATAAATAACAATGCACGAACTACCATTAATAAGTGCTTGTTTTTTCTTTTAGCTAATCATTTTATTGGGGAGTGTCGAATGAAGAGCTTTAATTAATAATTCATTTTTCAAGAAAGAATTGACCCAAGATGTTTTTGAGATACTTTCGGTCATTATCATTTCGTAATATTTTAGTGGTTTGAAATTTTTTTGTAGCATGCTATAAATTTTTTTGAAAATTATCTCTACTTCAGATTGTCCTTTCATTAGGTAAATTTAACTTATCCTAGTGTGATCATAAGTGAAAGTCACAAATTATTTTTTTTCCAGAATGTGTAAGAGTTTTATAAGGACCTTAAACATCACTATGAATCAAAATAAATGAGTTAGTTGATTTGTATAGTTGTGGAGAAAATGATACACGATGATGTTTAACAAATTAACGCACTTCACATTTAACGACATATTTTTATTCTGGAATAATTTAGGAAACAAGTATTTTAGATAAAGAAAACTGGGATGACTTAACTTATAATGTCATAATATAATTTCATTGTCTTTAAAGACAAAAAAAATTTAAACCGACATTTGGACATTGTTTATTTGAGTCAAGTCCATAGTCAAAATAGTAAAGTTTACATTTTTCCTTGGCACAACCAATCATCCTCGTGGTTAATCTCTGAAACTCATAACTAGAATAATAGAAGTCAGCTTGACATTGATGATCAACCATAATTTTACTGATCAGCAACAAGTTAGATGATAGATTAGGAACAGGGAGGATATTGTGAAGAGTTGACAACGAAGAGAGTTTTACTGTTCCTATCCCAATAATTATTTAGAGGGAATCATCAATAATTTTGACTTTTTTATTGCATGCACAAGGTTTATATGAAGAACTTAATTTAGAACAATCAGTTAGGTGATCAGTTACACCAAAATCAATTATCCATGAATGAAAAAATTAGGATTGAGACTCAACAAAGCAATGAAGAAATAGTTGCCCTTTTTGTACGAAGGAGTAGGATGGAGTAGAAAATTTTGGAAATTGAAATAATTTGTGTAAGTGCTCTAATTGCTCATTGGTTAAAGGCACTGCATTCGAGTTAGCAGGCGACTCGAGAGTTTTTTCAACAATGACTTGATAAGCTCGAGCTTCACTCTTAGATTTTGATTTCTATTTTGCAGGTTTACCATGAAGCTTCCAACATATTTTTTTTGCTTGCCATGATTTTTTTGCAATGCTTGCACCTTAATTTTTTCCTGTCTTTTTTGTTAGTGTAAACCCCTTTTGACATGATTAGAGTTCTTCTGTTCAATATTAACAACATAATTTTGCACAACATAATTTTTCTGCTTGCTTCTTTACGCCTACCAAAAAAAATTCTCGAATTAAGGGTAGGATTTCCTATCGAGAATGCGATCTAAAACTTCGTCTAAACTTTGATTAAGACGGGCTAAGACCATATAGATCCGATCATTTTCTTCTCTTTTCTTGTGGTGAGCATAATTATTTGAATTCTTTTATATGTCATAATAGCATTGATCAAGCTCTTGACATAATGTTACCAACTCGTTGTATTACATGTAACGTCACAGTTATTTTGTTTGGATTTTCAAAATTGAGTTTCAACTAAAAATTTTAGGAAGAATTTTCCAAATTTGAATAGAGATATTGAACGACCTTCAAAATATCGTGAACAGTGGTAATGAATAGATGTGACTTTTCTATGTTAGGGTCCATGGAGTTATTGAGCCAAACCATAACCAGAGAATTTTCATACTGTCATTTTTTTAGATTCAAATCTCCAATAGTAGTTTCTAAAATTTTACAGGTTAAATACCAAATTTGGTCTTTAATGTCGATCTCCAATTTTATGGATTGGGGCCACTCGAGGCAGTTATGCCCGTTGAGTTTAATTACTATGAGGTACAATTGTAATTTCTGGGGATATTACTCAGTCGATACTAGTGCATGTGAGGTGATGTAGTTTCGGAATTACTCGAACCGGTTTATGTGGTAGAATTTGTTTGTTACTCTCATCATCATTGCCAATTTGTTTGACATTCTAAGAATCTGAGCAACACCAGGATCTTGATTGCATGAGAGGAGCAAAAATTCTTTACATCGCGATTTTGATCATTGTTTTCAATCGGAAACGGCGTAGAACTTTTGTACACTGCAAGTTGTGTGCTTACTTGCATGAGCAACACATAACTCCCTTTTACCGCGATCACGATCGCTATTTCGATTAAGATCGGCTTGGAACTCTTATATTCCGGTCGAAGGAGAAAAGGGAACAATGATAATGCACGAGCAATCGTCGGTCCAGAACTCTTACAACTACAAATGTTGCGGACGTTGTGGTCTTCTTGTTGTTTCATCGGTACACACAAGCAATCGTTGATCCAAAACCCTTTTCAACTTCGAACTCTTTAGTGTCCTTACTATTTTGTTGATTCAGAACCCTCTAAGATGCCGCGAACGCTGTGGAATCGTGAGGTAAAACAAGTTGTAGTTTCGTCGATTTTCATATGCCACGATCCCGATGTCACCCCAGATAGAAACAGAGTGGAAGTGGAGAAATACCGGGGTTTAAGGAGTCTTCATACGCTGCTATCCAGTCATCACCTTCCTATCCGCGAGTGTCCTAACGCGAATGAGTCACATGGGAGTCGGGTTACCGCCGCCTCTGATACCATGTAGTTTTGGGAGGGTAAAAATAATTATTCCTGCTTAATTTCATATGAAACGGTTGGAAAATAAATAGAGGGGATGACTCCCATGTTAGGAACATCATAAATTAACCAGAACTCCCCATAATAAAAAAAGAAACAAGAACTAAAACGTACTAATAATGTAAAGCTCTAACAAATGAAAATAATAAAAGATGAATAAAACTTCCTAAATAATTTCGACAATTACTAACAACCTGGATGCTGGAGGGTGGCAGTAATGATGTTTCTTGTTTCTAAACTTGGCTGGACAGTATCAAGATAACAACAGTTTGCAGATATTAAAGAAGCACATTGACTATAAGGCATCGAGGACCTCATATGGCTATGATTCCTTGTATGGTTTCTTGATTTAGGATATTGAAGAAAAAGTTCCTTTCCATGTCTTTCTTTGTTCCACTGGTGATCGGAACCCTGAAAAATTTGCTGAATAGGGGATGCCAAATGACGAAACAGGTAAGGGAAATCGTGGTGGTCAATCTTGGCAAAGTCATAGACTTCACTATGATCCATCCTCTACTCTACCTTACTGAAATTAGGGAATCCACCCTAAGAATTTCAGGAGAACCTGAAAAGAAAAGGCAAAAACAAAAAAGACCCCTGCCCCGTTTCTAATGATGCCTATTTATAGGAAATTCTTAGAACTCCTATACCATATTAATCGCCAAAATACCGGTATTTATTAAATTAACCTTCTAAAAGAAATAAAACTTTCCTAGTAATCTATATTAGAAGGGTTGACTTGTTCTCTAACTCTATCTAATGCACATGCAAACAATCTATATAGTTTATTTCATTCTCATTTTCATTTCATTCAATATTTATTTATAATATTTAATATGTGAAATAATTACATTCATTATGTTGAGAAATCTCTAGCATTCATTCCAATGTGATCAATATTTTTTATAGAATAGATAAAGATTGGTTTGAACAAATTACATTATCAAATCATGCATTTAGTTTAGAGAAAACAATAATATTATTGTAATTTAAAAATATAAATACTCACTTTGAATCATGTATTTCGTTAACCTAAACGGTGGTTGCTTTTTTGACCTCTTTGATATGCTATTATGTGGTTCAGTCTGGTTTGATTCTTCTGATTTTCCTACTTTTTCAACTTTATACTTGGTGAAGGTTGAGTCAGAAATATTTTGTCTGCATGGTGGATTATCCCCATCCATCGAGACACTTGATAACATTCGCAACTTTGATCGTGTTCAAGAGGTCCCTCATGAAGGGCCAATGTGTGACCTACTATGGTCTGATCCAGATGATCGATGTGGTTGGGGCATCTCTCCTCGTGGTGCTGGATATACATTCGGACAAGCAAGTTACTTCCACAATTTTGTATGCATTTGAACTCGTTTTTCTCCTCTGCTTGAAGCCATTTTCTATTTCAGGACATTTCAGAACAATTCAACCATAACAACAACCTTAAGCTGATTGCTAGAGCGCATCAGTTAGTCATGGACGGATATAACTGGGGTCATGTATGTTATTGCTCCATTACAATGCTCGCATGTTTTTTTTTTTTTTTGGTGGATGCACACTGCCCAATTCCTATGTATTTACATATTTAACATCTAAACTTTGTTTTTTACTTATAGACCACTTAGTCATTTATATCACATAAAAGATAGCACTATTTTAATTTTTTACAAAGTGAAATACTCCTTTTAATGTATAGTTAATAAGACGACATATATTGAAAAATTAAAGTCTAGGTATTAGATATGTAAGTGCATAAGAATTAAGTGGTAAGTATGTAAATCTTCCTTTTTTTTTTCGGGGTTCACCAAGATCACCTTGATCATATTTTTCCATGTTGCACAGGACCAAAAAGTTGTAACCATTTTCAGTGCACCTAACTATTGCTATCGTTGTGGGAACATGGCTTCCATACTAGAAGTTGATGACTGCAAAGGTCACACATTTATTCAGGTCTCACCCTCTCCCTCTTCCCCCTTTTCCTCATTCCAGTACATGCATGAAAACACAAGGATTCAATATTGTCATCCCATGTTCATGAAAGCTGTTTTTTGTAACTTGATTTGTGAAAATGTGGCGGATGTTTGATTTTTTTTTTGAGAAAGTTAAATCTATATTTCTCACGATAACTTTCTAAGAAATTGTTTTCCTTTTACGCCATATTTATAAAAAGTTGCAGCGTCCAAAATGGACTCTTAGCATCTCGACATGCTGACCACAATTTATGATGATTTTCTATAATTCAACCATTTTCCCCGAGTAATAGCAGTGAGTAATTTTTAATTGCAGTTTGACCCCGCACCAAGGAGAGGCGAACCTGATGTAACACGAAGAACTCCTGATTATTTTCTATAATTCATCATCCTTTTATAGCATGTCACTGATTTCTGGTTGCAAATGTAGACTTGCTAAGGCGGCGTACGTAACCGGTTTAGGGACAACACTTATCGTTTGTTTCAAGCTGCTTAACTTAGCGGTTTGAAGGGTAGGAGAGAACACGTATATTGTGGATGGGGAAGGATTTTGAAATTCTTTTTGCGAGATTTTAAGGACTTGCTCTTGATTTTCAATTTGTGGTTGCGAAAGCAGCGGGTCCACGGTGGACATAGGCTCTCTGCAGCAGGAGGATGTGTCATCTCATTTCCGTGTCCTGTGATTCCGCTCCCTTGTTTTGATTTTGCCCCTTCTAGTATATTTACTTTATTTTCGGTCTGTGTAGAGATTAGTGATCAATGTTAGTGTGTGCAATTCTTAGCTTTTAATAGTTCATTTGAGTAATTTTTGTTGAAATGATTGTTGCCTGCAATCCAACCCATCGTTTCGACTTTGTGTAATATCTGCAACTTGTTTTGTATGTTATCAAATTACCAACATTTGCTTTTGTAATAGAGCTGTTTTTTCGTCCAGTGGTTGGTATTAGTGGGAAGAAAATGTAATCCCATGCAAACCCTATTCCTACCAAAATTCAAATAAAATTATTTGACATGAACCCTAGTCCTACCAAGTGCTAAGTCTAGGGCTCTCTTTGGCACTGCTGCTTGCATCGAGTTTCAGACCACCGTCATAGTTTTATGGGGAAATTATTATTGGTTTCTTTCTAAAAAAAAATTTGTTACGGGAAATTGTTTATTGCAATCAGGCCTGTGAAAGTTAAGAAAATTGTCCAACATTTTAGAAAAAAAAATGTTAAATCATGAAAATCAATTTGAAATGTTCGAAACAAAAACTTTGCATATTAAGTACATGAATTAAGAAGCTCAAAAAACACAAAATATCAAAAAACTTGAGAATGGGAAAAAAATTCATGTGTTTATTATACCAAAAAATTAAGTATGAAAAGAAGATGAGGAGAATTGAATAAATTATATTAAACTCGAATATTTCTATATCGTGGACGCTCCTCTCTTTATGCAATAGAATTCTAAATCCAACATGAAAACTTTGTAGCAATAACTATTTAAAACCAACTTGCACTTCACATTGTTGAGGCACTGTAGAACTCTAAGATGGTGCTGTGCGTCAAGCTCTAGGGTTCAAGCATTAAGTTTTCTTTCGAGAGTAATGCCTTGGCCTGGTGCTGCGTAGTGTTTTGGTACTGTTATGGTAACACCAATGCAGATATTGCAGTGCTGGGGCATTATGCATGGAACTAAATTTCTCATCAGGCGTGAGGCCTTCCGTACCCCCCGACAAAATATCACCAAGCGGGATTAGTGAAATTGAGGGCTCGGAGATATAATTGATCAACACAATCAGACAAAAAAATAAAAAGACCTAGACTTGCTCTTAGATGTATTAGAAGTCTGATCGCCAAAATGCTGTTCGTTATCTCTATTTGGTTCGTTTGATTGATGAAAGATGGGAGAGCTTCATCATTGATTGCAATAGCATTCAATGTTTCATTCATATAGCTTCATGATAGCTTAAACGCAAAGAGATTTGTGTTGTTCGTCTCTCTATAACTACTGTCTCCATGCCCCTCTATTAAACATGATGTCCTGCCACCCACGAGGAGGTGCTCCCAACAGCTAAATATTTATCCCTATGGCTGTAGATGAACTAATGCACTCGATGAACAACTCAAACTCAGCTCGATTAAGACTCGATAATGTTCGTACAAATTAGTAAATAAACAAACTTGAACAATTTTAAAAGCTCGAAGCTTAAATGAACTAAACATGAACATGGTCGAACTTGTTCATTTATATTCCGAGCAAACTCTCTTGTTGTTTAACAAGTAAATTATTAAATACTTGATATTAAGGTCAATGATAGCTCTTATCATATAATATATATTGTTCAAATAAAATTCAATTAACTAGAATATTAACTCATTTGTTGATAGCTCGTATCATATATTGTGGGTTTCGAAAATTCACGGTCGCTCTCCTTAAACTCTCTTTGCATTATTCTATTTTTTATTTGCTGAGCTTTGAAAGTTGAATATTCAGAAGAGAGATTGGATTGTAGACGAGACACTACCCAGAGATTTCACGCTCATTTCAGTGAGGACTTCTTGATATCGGGTTCGAGATTTTCTATAGGCGTAAACCCTTATGGTTAATTACCCCTTCCGATAATAGAAGAACACTTTCAATTAAGGTTATTTATTAAGAATTGAATATTCAATATATAATAACTCTCGACTTAGGATTTAAATTATAAAATTCACCACTCAAAACTTAAAGAAGATGGTGGGGGAATGAAGACGAAACCCGATCATGATCTGATGGTTCCTTCATCAAGGGGGAAACCCGATCGAGATCCCATGATTCCGTCATTATGTGTCATCGTGGTGCCTGATCTGCTTAGTCGATGAGGTAGTTGATCCAACCTGACAGAAGAATCCTTGTCAACAACCATGGATTGCGTCGTCCAAAAGATCCTTATTAATCTTGGGTGAATGTTTGTCTATGGGGACAAATTTAAGTCAACCTTAGCTAACATAAGATTTTATGTCAATCAATTATACATTTATGATTCACAACTCAAAGAGTAGAAAGCCGTTTAGGAACATAAGGGCTGCAACCATGACCATAACATACAAGCAATCACCCGGTCAGAGGGCTCTGATTGTAACGCTGTTTTGTGTTGCCATTTGGAGGCAAAATCACACTGAAAAAAGACTCGAGTCACGTCCTTACTGGCATGCGATTGCTTTTATTGTGAATATATTGATACGTTCAATATGATATTCACTCTTTGCGAGCTAAAACCATTCATAATTTTGTCACCCTCGACAGACTGTTGCGGAGGGTGGATGACTTTTTCGCTTTAGCTTTCAAGTGATTTAATTTAGCTTGAATTTTAGTTGATTATTTTGAAGATTTTGATTTAAAAGATTGATCCCTCTGGTTTAAATATTTTTTCCACTCGGCCATCATCAGCGTGTTAGGCGTTTAAAATATTTATATTTAAAGCTATGCATCTAATTTTGTCAGTTTAAGCATTTAGGTATATGTTCTATCCACTGCCTTCCTTATAAGGAGGAGGATCAAACTAGTTTGGTGATTTGAACCTGTAAATTCTTATTTTAGGATTTGGACATAAGGCTTACCAGACTCGTCAACTCTAGTCCTTGCTATGAGGAGAAACATACTAGTATACTAGTGAGGTGGGACTTAAAACCTCATTAAATAGATAAGTCGACCTGATTAGCCCACACAACATTCTTAAATTTAGTATTTGAGCATTTAATATATTGGATGGAGACATCAGGGTGTCTGTCTACCCAACTTTCTATAAGAGGCTTACAAATGACTAACAATAATTAAAGGGGACGACATCATGGTATTCTTTGAAAATTGATGAGGCTAAAAGGGTGTTTGCCTACCCTGATGTCGTCCTTCAGTAGGCTGACGAAATAAGTTTATTTGCAATTAGTTAATTAAGTTTAACCATGTGGTTATGTGTTATGCAAGTCATAATATTGATAGAGATTTTTTAGTTAAGTTGGGTTGATTGTTTTTATTCAAGACAATTGTTTTGGCTGATTAGAATTATACAATCTTAATTTGGTATCTCTCAATTTCATTTAGCTAAAAAACTAGCTATCATTATGGTTGATGATACCTAATTGGTATTTGTATAATTCTTCTGAACTCATTTTGTTATATATATATATTATATATATATAGTGAATATGCAGCAAATTTGCTCTATAGTTTGACAATTCGGAAATCAATGAATTAGGCAAAGAGAACCCCTAGAAGAAGAAATCTTTAGAGCAATGTCATTTCTATTGTTTGAATCCATCTCCCTAAAATATTCAACACTTTCATCTCAGAATGCTGCATTCAACATTTTTGATGGATTTATGGATTTATTAATTATTTTGTAGTTGATTTATTTCATTATAAATTATATATTTAACTTAAAGAGAAATAATTTATAATAATACTAACAGTTAATAATCTATATTAATATTAAAAAAATCATTTTTTCTCATTGAAAATAAATCGATTGCATCGGGTTTGTTGGTTTAGGCTTATCTTACATCTTCTCAACACCCAATATTCTCTGATTATGCTATGCCTTTCAACTATAATCAAGAAATAACTGTCCACAAAAACCACATAAATTTCCCTAAGCAAGTTTGTTTAACGATAATTTTAAAAAAAGAAGGATAAAAGTGAAAAATATTAATATAATTTTTATAGTGAATTTTGATATTTGAGCGAAAATTTGAAAAAAAAAAAAAAAAAAAAAAAGCACATCGGGGATTTACAAATAACAACGTTTGGAGGAAAAAAACATTAAGTTTAGACTCCAGATGCATCTAAAGTTCAATGATGAGACGTCACGTATCAAGTGGGCCCTATAAATTTTAACACTAACCAATCACAATGCATTACGGTGGGCCCACTTAACATATGACGCCCCACCATTAGACTCTAGAAGCAAATTACATCCCGAGTCCGGATGTAATATTTGCTCCGTTTGGAGTGCTATGATGTAATTACCACTACAACACATGCCCATGCATACTTGATTTCTCCTTTATTTTCAATCTGATTTGAATGCGATAAAGCGACTCATTAATTTCACACTCCATACTTGTCCCAAGCTATATAATCTTCTTTCGCACAACAGAATAAGATTCCATAAGAACACTAAGCATTACTAAACTCATTAAAACAACTCACAAAGCTAATAGTTCCGGGCCATAACATAATTATTATTATCCCCAATCCATTCATCCATCAAGATACCAACTACGCACATTACAGTTTGCTGAGGGTTGAGCCCTTACTGAGTTCATCCCTTAGAACTCGTCGCAGCAGCTTATTTGTAGCCGTTCGTGGAAACTCCGGAACGACTTTAACCAAGCTTACCTGTTCGGCATACAATAAGAGGTCACAAAGGGGATCAGATTTAATAGAAATTGGACCGCACCGACTGATCCGATTGCTTCAACTATGAACCAATACTTTGGTTCAAAACTACTTTCGCGTAGAATCGGCTGGAACGGACAGTCGAACTCGTGAATTGGTCTGGCTTTTAAAAACACCGATTCCAATATTGATCATTATTTTATTATTGTTATTATTATTATTATTATTTTATGAACGCAATAGTGATTATTATTTCAAAATATTGAAAAGTGAAATGTCTAAATTAGAATCTCGTATATTGATTGGTAAAAATAATCACTATTGCATCGTTTAAGTAATTCAAAGGCTTATTCAAACATCTAATTCTAATCCAGTTCAACAGTTGATTCTTAAACCATATAAAAAAGGCGAAATTTTTAAAATGGCATCATTAATTTTTCTTTTTTTAAATCAACACAAAAAATATATTGAAAATGCAGCAAAGTTGCTGCTGATGTGGTGACTTTGTGTGTATATATATATATATATATATATATATATATATATATATATATATATATATATAGTACAGGAAAGAAAATATGTGCTTTAGGAAGGAAAACAGAAAAAAATTAATATAAAATAACATGCCTGCATGCATGATGGCCGCCAGCCTCGGTAGCAATAATTTTTACATTTATAACACCCTACATCACAATTATTTATGTAAAAATTTAAAATTTAAAATTTAGGTGTTAGATATATAAATACATAGGAATTGAGTCGTACATATATGTAAATGCCGCTAAATTTTTATTACCGACGCTGGTGGGCCATCATGCATGCATGCAGTATTATTTTATTTTAATTTTTCCCCTTTTCCTCCCTAAAGTATAAGAAATATTTGCGTACGGAAAGCGTGCGCAAGGTTGTGTACGTTTTAGGTTATTTGGAGGGTATAACTAGGGTACACTTATGTTATAGGAAGAATTATAGGGGGTATAACTTGAGTGTAACCTAATTATACCCTCCGAATAACTTAAAATATACGCAACCCTGCGTATGTTTTCCGTACGCAAATATTTCTCTTAAAGTACAGATTTTCTTTCCTGCACTAAAAAATACAGAAAATACAGAGTCGTTGCTGATATGGTGGCTTTGTCGATCTTCAATAAGAAAGAAAATTTAAAGAATGCCATTTTAAAAATTTCGCCTATGAGAAATAGTAAAAATTAAAAAAAAAATATGACACTTCAGAAACAGCTTTAGCCTTTTAGACTTCTTTGAACTAAAACAGTAAGCATTCAATGAAAAAAATTCATACCTTGAACAAAGGATTTAGTTCCTTTTGGATTGCTCTCTGAAATTTGGCCCTCAAACTGGTTTCTTGTTTTGCCATTCCAGTTTTCAGCACTGCAAAGAGAACCAACTCCTCTGGTCCGCCGGCTCTCGACCGAAAGCCAACTGCGGCCGTCTCCAACACATTTTCATCAGCTCTATTGCATACCCTTTCAATCTCAACTGCACTTGTCTGCTAGACAGGATGCATTATATGATTAAAAAAATTGGAAGATTTACAATTTTACACACATACTGCTCAATTCTCAAGTATTTACATATCAATAACACCCAGACATCAATTTTTATGAAAAGGTGTATTTCACTTTTTTTAAAAAAAATTAAATGGTGTTATTTGTTACGTGATATGAAAGATTTGGGTGGTATAAATGGCAAAAGCAAAAATTAGATGTTAGATATGTTAAATACATGAGAATTGGGTGATATGTATGTAAATTCCCCTTAAAAGAAGCAGCAGAAATCCTACTAATACAAGCTGAATGACAATAAACAACTGAGTTATACCTTGATACCTCCAAGATTCATTGTATCATCCACCCTTCCCAGCACGATATAATATCCACCAACGGTTCTCTGAATTATGTCTCCATGCCTTCTTAAAATCTAGCAGCATAGTATACACAGTGAGGGACGTAAAATACAACCAAATTCTACTATTATAGTTGTATGATATACAAATGGAAAAACTAAGGATTTATGTAACTTTTTAAAAAGTGCAAAGAAATGTACATATTTTAAGCTTAAAGAATAAATTATAAATATTTTTTACGTATTGTACTCGCATATTGATAATAAGTAGACAACTTTACATGTTTGATCCTGGCATGCCAAAAATGATTTTGACAAAAATGAGTTTCTTCATTTGATTATATAATCCCTTTTTCTTCTATATTCTAGTTCAGTAAAATGCACATAGAAGTACTTTTAATTCAAAAAAATTCATACAAAGCTATCTGTTAAAGTTCAATTAAAATGGCTTAATCATGCCAACAGTTCCATCATCTCCCAAATAAGGAGAAAAAATAAGCAGTGAAATAGGATAGTTTAATCCGTTGTAATTAAGATATCTTAGTGACATTTTAGCATTTACCTTCTTAGCATGGCAAGCTCACGGAATCTGCTGATAAATATCATGCTTTCGCATGGAAACTATGGAATATTATGTTGGAGACTTTTCGAGATTTGCATCTTCTTGCATTCGGGCAAAGTTGGATGACCCGATTTTAGCGCCAAGATTTGTTAACATTACAAGCACGCATAAATAAATAAGTAAAGAAATAAAGTTATTCAGGATCTTTAGCCCCGCACTAGGATTTTGATTTGTTTCTCTTGGCTGCCGGTATTGAAAGTAATGGTCCTGCTCATAATAATCACATCCACTTCAAATATAATTACTCAAATGAAGCTTGAATGTATTTCTATTTCTCTTGAATTCTCCCTTCTTATTCTTTATTAACACGCCTAATCATAATTCAAAAAATTTCTAAATAAATATATAATTATCGAGAGTAGGAATTTATAACTAAATCACTAACCTCCTTTTACTTCAAAATTCTTCCTCTTTCTCAATTCCCAAGGATTTATCAGCTTTCAATTCTCGATTAATTAAACTTGCCATTAGCATTTAATAATTGAACATACAATCTAAATTCATATATTAATATAAATAAATCCTAACATATCTTAATCCATAGCTTCGTTTGATTCCTTCACTGTTCATACACGCGAGCCTTTTCTTCTTGTCTGATTGGTCGGGATTAATCCCATTTCCTTCTTCCATTACTTGGCTAGGGCATTACCTCTCCTCACCTGCCGGATTCGACCACACGGAACACTTCTCCTTCGAGTTCGCATGATTGCACAAGAACCACACAACTCTTCCCCATTAATATAGGTTTTTAAGTCATTCACTGAGATGACTTCCGAGGAGAAAGAAACACTTGCTACACAATGCCCCTTCCATCAATTATAAACCATGCACAATTTTCCCTTCAACGGGCTACAAACTCTTAACTATCTCCCCTTCCATTAACAAAAGATTATTTAATAGATTCCCTTCAACTGATTAAAGACACCTCATTGTCTCCTTACAGCTCCCTTCGATATTTCCCCTAAATATCTCATAACACACCTAGCTTTCCTCTATCTAGTCCACCAATATCTACAAACGAATCAGATTCGACTATTATAGATATCTACAATATAGTTAAAGCCATTGAAAGTAGGATTAGTCAAATTGAAAATATACTCGTCGGCACAATAACTGGCATTGAATTGAGATTGAATAAAATGAAGCCGAGGCTTAGTGCGTCTAAAAGTCTAGCAAAAGCCGAAGTTATTAATAAGGGGAATATTTTCCCAGCATAGGTGGGGAAAAATATGGAGCATGCGAGAGTGGCCAAGCTGTGGAGGGTAATTAAGTTATAAATCCGGTTAAGCACATGAGGATGAATCTACTGATCAAATTTTGTTGACTAGCATTGTTCATGATGCTAAATTAACAGATGATAAAAAAGTCAAGAAGACATATACACCTGACTCCGGAAGGTATTCAAAGAGGAGAAAGAAAAATATAAATATAAGCATAGTTGTTATGATAAATGAAGCAGAATTAGAGCATGATGTTGATCATTCTGAATTTTGGGGAGAGCATAATATCCTAAAAGTGAGACTGGGGGAAAGCAGAAGGCATGTTCTCAAATTTTTGTTGTACCTTTAATGAACATATGCACCTCCTTAATTTGATTTGTTAAACATATTGTGTTCAACTCAATCCGAAAATTGATGTTTTAATCTTTGAAAATTTTGAAGAAAATTTTGTTGAATCTAATATTTGAGTAGAGCAACATGTTCAAAAAACTAACATTGAGGTAGAGCGGGAAGTATATTCTCATCTATATTTTATGAGCTTATTGATTTTTTTAATATTAAAGGGGATGCACAAGAGTGTGCAAATTATAGAGGAATTAAGTTGATGTGTCATACTTTAAAGTTATGGGAGAAAGTAATTGAACATAGATTAAGACGCATCATAAAGGTTTCTCATAATCAATTTGGATTTATGTCGGGCAGGTCTACTATGGAAGCTATACATTAGAAGTTCATAGATAATAAGGAGAATTTACATTTCATTTTTATTGATTTAGAAAAAGCTTACAATAAGATTCCAAGAGATATTCTTTGGAGAGTTCTTGAAAAAAAAGGTGTTGATATGACTTATATTCAGGTCATTAAAGATATGTATACTAGAGTTGTTACTTGTGTTCAAACTGAAAGAGGATTGACCAAATATTTTTCTATTTCTGTTGGATTACATCAGGGATCGGCTTTATGCCCATATCTTTTTGCTTTAATTATGATTGGTCTTACTGGACATCTACAGGAGGATGTACCTTGGTGTATGCTTTTTGCTGATGATATCCCTCTCGTGGATAAAACGAGAGAAAAAGCCCATAAAAAACTTGAATTATGGAGGTCAACATTGGAGTCTAAAAGTTTTCATTTAAGTAGGACTAAAACTGAATACATGGAATGTAATTTTAGTAGTAATAGCTCTAGTGACAGAAGTATGACTTTGGATGATCAAATTATTAAAAGGTGTGAACGATTTAGATATCTTGGGTCCATTGTTCAAAGCGATGGTGAAATAGATGGGGATGTTAATAGTAGAATTCAAGTTGGCTGGTTGAAGTGGAGGAATGCTTCGAGTCTTTTGTGTGATAGAAAAGTACGTTAGACTGAAAGGAAAATTTTATAAGATGGTGGTGAGATCTGCAATGCTCTATGGCGCTGAATGTGGCCTTTAAAAGAGAAGCATAATAATAAGTTAAGTGTTGCCGAGATGAGAATGATTAGGTGGATGAGTGGCTTTACACTTAGAGACAAAATGGTAAACGAATATATCTGTGATAGAGTTGGTGTAGCTCCTGTGGCAGAAAAAATTAGAGAAAGTCGTCTTAGATGGTTTGATCACATTAAACATCGACCATCTGATTATCCGACTAGGAGAGTAAGATGTTTTAGATTCGACTTGTGTTAAGAAAGTCAGAGGTAGACCTAGGAAGACTTGGGCTAATTATATTAAAAATGATCTTAGTTTACTAGAACTAAATGAAAATATGACACTAAATAGGACACAATGGAGAAAAAGGATTCGTGTAGCCGACCCCATGTAGTGGGATGTAGTGGGATTAAGGCTTTGAGGCTTTGTTGTTTTTTTAATTTATTTTTTTAATATAGTCTGACAAGTTTATTAAAACTTCTTAAAGCCAACTATCAAATAAATAATGCCTGAAAGAGTTGGACATGATGACAAAATAAGAAGAGTTAATTTTAGTTGATGAATTAAGAGATGAGACATGCTTTAAATAATTCATTGTATTATTCAACCTTTACCACTGCACTTTTTCCTAAAAAACTGTGTATAATTTAATATGAAGCTTTATTAAACATCATCAAATATTGATTTTCCTAGGAGATATAAGTCAGGGCATATGATAGAATTGATCGACTAATTTAGTGCACGATTCACTAATAATTTAGGCTTTAATAAACTATTCCTATTCAGTTCAAGTTATAATAACTTCACACTCATGTTTTTTCTTATGTTGTTGACATTGCAGATGTGATACTATGCTAACTTGTGAAACTATTATAATATGCAAGAAAAGTATTAATAATATTTTGAATAATCAATATTTGTCTGATGATCACATATATATTTTTGTTTATATGTTTGTAGAGAGTAAAAATCTATGACTAGAATTACGTAAGCAATACTTGTACATTTCATGCTTGTATTGAGTGAGTGTAAAAAGTATTACTAAATCAGTCACAAATAATTTGAAAAATATTTATATCTATTTATCACTATTATGTTTCTTTTTCTCAGAGCTATGTCCAAATAGGATATAAAAAAAAAAGTTTGAGCTATATTGAAATCATTCTAATTCTAATAATTACTAAACAATATTAGGTGAAATTGATTTGATTCACTGTTGAATTCTGAACAATATTGTAATGAAATATCAACTATCTTTTGATAAGTAACTAGATGTTATAGTCTAACATATGGTGACTTAATTCTCATATTTATTATTTTTGTAAGTAAAACTATTAGCCAAGAATGTAGCTGATGCTTTCAAGTGGGACATTAAAAAATAAAACTTCATGGTGTGAAAAATCTGCCCACACAAACAAACTACATCGGTGGAATATTTGTGTAAATATATGAAAGCAGCTATAGGCATAGAATGTGTTAATTAGGCTGACAACAAAAATTGACAGAATAAATTGAATTTTTTTAGGGTTGAGTTTATATACACTTGATACTGGCTATAAAATGAACATTTTTAAACTTTTTTATGGCTGAAAGTATGTGAGTGTTGATATGTAAAAATCAAAATTATGGGTTTTTAAAATTTGAAATAAAAAGTTGTTGATAATTTAATTCTTTTTTTTTGTTATAAATGTCAATTTTACATAATGTTAAAGGAAAATCTTTAATTATTTAACTATACTGATATGTGATGTTTATAAAGTTTTAAGTTTTGTTTCTACAGAAGAATATTGAATTAATACGTTCATTTTTTAATATTCATAAA